TAGCATTATTACAAATTAGACGGAGGAAGCTACTATATATACACCTTAAAATAAGAGAAAAAGCAGTAGACCAGGATAGGCAATCTCTTCCGGCTATGGATTGGAATGACCCGCCCCAGGTTGGAGGCAAGCAGAGAGATACTGGGACCCAGCTGTTGCCAGTGCTTATTCCTGCAGTGGCATGGAGAGTGTGTCCATGGCCTAAGCCCCTTGCTACCAAAGTCTCACATCCATTGGCTGAATCCAGTCACCCTGTGGTAGAGAAAGCATGTGGAACACTGAGCTCTGCCAAGAATGAACCAAGGATAAATAAGGAATGGAAACAGGGGAAAAATAGGTTGTGCATTTTGAGGGAAAATGAGACAGCTGTGTAACTAAGTTTCTGGAAGGCAAACACTTCTCTCCCCCTCCCACCTTTCTTAGTACCAGCTGGAACCAGCCAGCATGGGACAATCAGAATTAATCCCCTACTATTCCAGTTATAAGTACCCTGATCCATTACTTGCAAGTGTAATTAGCATGTGGGTAGTCATTAATAAGCGCCATTACACTGCCATCTAATGTGTGCTTAGTAGTTGTTACAGTATTTTAGAACACTCAAAGTAACTGTGAAACAGTTGCTCATCTTTGGATTTAGCAAAAGAATTGTAATTGAAATACTACCTGGTCACTCAGATTCCAGCATGGTGATTAAGTCTCATGCAGAGGTGAGTTTGATGTGCACTATGCTCATTTCTTGTAAACGAGCCAAATTCAGTTGTTCTGCATCCCTGCTCTCAAGATGTCAAGGCCTAGTGGATTGTGAGAGATGTGGGATAAGACCAGGGCTGACACTTCTGGTCTTTTAGGAAGGGAGCTCTTTCTACCTGGCAGATAAGAGATCTCAGGGGCCAGTTTGAAATTGTAGAATAGAATCTGACAGCAATTCAGAGCCAGCACTGAACTAAACCACCTTCTGCTCTCGGTAGAGCAAAGTACATTAACCTTGTCTCTAATATAAACACATTGTACTACAACATATAGGTTCCTATACTGCTCCATCCTAGAAACCTATCCCCTTTGCGTTTTCTGTACAGCCAGGCATCTCCAAAATGCCAGGGTGCCTTTCACATCAATCAAATCAATAGTAAAGTCTCTAGACTCCATGAAATTTCTGGTATTTCTGCCTTACATCACGGAAAGTCTTCTTGGCAAGCTGTGATTTACATTTTTACCTAAAAGAAAAAAGGCATTGAAAAAGTGCCTTTAATGAAACACAACCTTTAATATATAGATTATCCTAAAACTATTTTTAAGCATTGAATTTTAGTAGTTCTTGAATGATGCCTGAGTTTATCTCCAAACTTTGAACATCATTAAAAAAAGCAAACTGATCCCACTGTAAAACATGAAAATCCTGCACAGTGACTGGGGGAAGAGTTTGAAACTCTGGAAGTTCATCAGACACCTGTTTTTCTCTTAGGTTTGGGCAACTGTGACCTTGTATCTAAGCTTATTGACTTGTTTTAGATCATAAGCAATGGGTCCTGTCCCCAAGTGCATTCATGTGTGATCCAAAACTAAAAGTCCCAGACTCCTACAGCTGTAAGAGTCTGTCCAGCAAATGCTTTATGGCTGCCTAGAAAGCTGTTTAGGTCTTCATTCTTCAATCTCGTTAGGGGGAAGCCAGGTTTTAGCAAAAAAGACTGGGGTCCAGCCAAACAGTACTCCATAGGCACAGCAATGCAGTGAAGACAGAACAAGACTTTATGTTCTGAAAAAACAGGTTTATTTGCACAGTGATAATTGTTAGGGCATCCAGCTTCATTGCTCTCTCCATGTGGGTTTCTGCTTGTAACAGGGTGAAAGACTTGACCCTCCACTCCTGCATAGTAATGCAGACAAAAACAGAGGGCAGGGACTATGGAGAGAGGCCATGTGTTCTAAACAGGCAGCATGGAAGTGGGATTCACCACTCCTGCCTGAGGAAAGTCTTTACTTAGCAGGTCTGGTCTCCTGTCCAGGGAGAGCCTCCTCTGCATCTCAGGGTGCTGCTTGGTTCCCCCTGGGCTGGAAGGAGGTGCTGCCTTACACAGCCGTACCCTCTGGGGGCTGCTTCCTGGCCTGCAGCACCTCCTCCCGGTAGCCCTTCAGCAGCTGGTTCAGCAGGGTCTTCTCGCTGTCCCTGTGCTCAACAAGTGGGGGCAGTGGGTTCCCCTTGTACTCAAGCACGCCCAGCTTGGCCCGGTCCAGGTTTGTGCCTTTGGGAACCTGCAGCAGTCGTGTATAAGGGCTGCTGTAGTCCTGGAAACGCAAGGCCAGCACCTTGAACAGCTTGTGCACCAGGTCCTTCTCCTGCCGGGGCAAAGTATGGGACAGTGGCTGGTGAGGCCCTCTCCCTGCCGTCAGCTGCCCTCCCCCAGACCAGGGGGAAGCCAGGCCTTGTCCCCGGCCCTCGCGGTGCTCACCGTCAGCCAGAAGTTGGCCATGCTCATGGCGCGCTCGTCCGTGTCACCGCGCTTCGCGTAATCGATCAGCTGCGGGGACCGGGACGTCAGGAGGGAGGGGGGAGGAGGGGGACCCGCCCAGTCCTCCCGCCCCGCCCCG